AGCTATACCATTGTTTAGTACGTCTTATTTAAATAATAATTCAGAGAATCAATTGCTTTTTAATATACATAGTACAAAACTATTTAAATGAGCTTTGTGGGCATCCCTATTTTAAAGAAGGGCAGTAAGTCATGGAAGTAGTGTGAATGTTTGCCTACCTTTCAAACTATAGCTCTTGTAGATTTTAAAATATTTTTCTACGCAACAATCTCTGCTATAGTAGACCTGTTTTTTTTTTTTACAAAACCACTTTCAAGATGCATGAAAAACATAATTTTTGAAAAAGTAAATTCATTGTTTTTTGGTCGGAAATGGGCCCCTAAACGCCCTGGGCCCCCCCGCATTGCGGGGTCTGGCGGTATGGTAGTTCCGCCCCTGTGTATTAATGCACTTTTTTTAGCTACTTTACATTTTGAAATGTTTTTCACTTAGCATACATTTTTACATTATTTTTTTGGTATTAATATATTGTTAATATGCATTTTATTATATTTTAAAATGTAAATGTGCAAACAATTTAGTTATAAAAATTTAAATCTAGGATATTACCAAAAATACAAATTTAAAATGCTAATAGCTTTGAAATATAAGAGATCGAAATAAAAAAATAATCAGCATGTCAAAGGGTAGATAATTCGCTCTAATTTAATTGTCAAAAAAAAAACAATATATATCTTTTGAATACATCTTCAGAGCTCAAAGCTTTTTAAAAAAAAACTTCATACATTATGCACATTCAAAAACTCATGTTAGTTTTAATGAATTATAATTGTATTTCTCGTAAGATCAAAAGAGCAAACATGTTTATTCTAAATTGTGTATAATTTTTAAGGCTAAACAATTTTCAAAAACTTTTTGTACAATTAAAAAAATATGTACATTATTTTCTAGCTTACAATATGAGAACCACCGTACATGATTTGTTTCTTATAACTCAATAGATTTTTTAAAAACAAATCTATATTTTCAACTAAAAATTACAAAGTCAGTCTGGTAGTTATGCCCCATAAGTTGTTAGGTTCGAAATGGGAACTTTACTGATATTATAGTTTTTGCTGTTTAAAAATATGAATTTAAACTTGCTACTATTTTAGTCTCCCATGTCACGAGGTTTTGCCATCTTAAACATTTAATTGAATTGCTTTAATTTTTTTAAAATTGAAGAACAAAATAAAGGGATTAAATAGTCACGGAACACTAGGTATGCAAAGTAAGTCAGCGGGCCTCTGGGTCCAAATATAATTTATTTAAACGCAACCACACAGGCTTAATAATAAGCTGTTGCTTATTTTTAAACATATGAACAATTTATTTCTATATCATAGCTCGATTTGGTTTTGGCATTGGTCTTTTCCTGTTGACAGCAAAATACGTTGTTTTTGTAACTAAACAAGCTACATATGGATAATCCTGTCAAGATTAGTGTTCGATACGTATCCGTCTGTATCGAAGTAATAGAACAAGCTATAAATAGGTGTAACTAAGACTGGTTTAAATCCATACTGCTTTATTCATGGCGCACAGTCAGTGTTTCTTCCAGACTTTTTTTCTCCGGGGGGGGGGGGGGGGCACTTGAAATTTTCGGGGGTGGGGGGGGCGATAGACTTTCTTCGGGGGGGGGGGGGGGGGGGTACACTGTTAAAAGTATATATTTTCTATATAAATTATATAAATTTCATTTCGTTCGAAATTTTAAACCCTCCCCCCCCCCCCCCCCCCGAAGAGATGCCTGGAAGAAACTCTGCGCACAGTAATGTATTTAATGAATCACATTTTACAGGCAAAATAATTACGCGAATACACTTTAAAATGGGTGGAAAAAATCGACAGTGTTCCCTGGAACGTTTAACAATTGGAATGTCATTTTTTTCTATTTAAAATAAAACCCTACTTGCCTCTTACAGAACAAAACATAATATTTTCACGTAGTAAAAAAATAAAAACAAATTTACTCTATCTTTTTTTTCCCATTAACCATATAGAAAAACAATCTGAAATTTGGGGCTGTAAATTTTGTATTTTGTTTTTAAAGATTTAATCTTATTGCCTTGAAAATACTTATTAGTGGAACTGCTGATTTTAAATTACCTATAATTCTTCATAGGTAATTTACATAATGAGTTATTTTGGAAACTATTTTGTGATAAATAAAATCAAGTGTTATTAATGATGCAATATTTTGAAAAGATACTATTTTGTGATAGAAATAATCAAGTGTTTTAATATTGATGTTATATTTTGAAAAGAAACTATTTGGAAATAAAGTCACCCTGATCATAATTTCTTTGTTTTAATGAAAAATGTTTTTGTTTAAATGTATTTTAGTTTATTAAATACGTAACAGTCGACTCATTGTGAGGCAGTGGATAGCAGATGAACGTGACCGCTTGTTGGGGAGTGATATGGCCGAGAGGTAGATAAGAGAATGATCAACCCGGAAACTTTGAGTTTGGTACTAGACTAAAAATAATTTTCATTGCGTCCGCCAGCTCTCATGAGTATCTGGAAAATTACGGGGGGAATATAGGCGGCTAGACACACTGCACTTCCAATATGGAGGTCACAGAAACAGATATATTCTATTTCATCTGCTCTGAAGAAGAATCTGGCTTACAATGCAATTCTTGTTGGTCTGGCGCATTACTGTATAGGGGAGGAAAGTTCATGTAACCAGTGGCGTAGGCAGGGGGGTTGGGGGGGGGGGGGGGGGTCATAACCCCCCATAGACCCCTCGGTATATATATATAAAAAGTATGAGGGGGGGGGGGTGGAAATCGAAAGTTTGAGGGGGAGGGGTGCAAATCGAAAGTTTGAGGGGGGGGGGGAGGGTGCAAATCGAAAGATTGTCCCCGGGTAAAAATTGGAACCCCCCCCCCCCACCTCCACTGAGACGATCCTTGCTAGGCCACTGCATATAACTACTAATTTTTTTCAGATACATATGTTTTATTTACAGCTAACGCCGCAAACATCTTCGATGTATGGAATATTGTAAAGAAAACCGCTCTTTGAAAATAATTTAGTTCTTCCATAAAGTACTTTCGCTAGACCAGCGGCGAAACAGATCGAAAAAACTCACAAAGGTCAGTGTCGAGTCATGCTGACGATACCAAACTTTTATAACAGTTAACGATCAACGACAAGAAAAATTAAATGAACACACGAGTAAGTAAAAACTAAATATTAATTATTTACACTGTATATTATAAATAATATGCCTTCTGTTCTCTAATTCAAGCATACAGCCATATTTCTCTGTCATGAATAGCACAGTTACTTCACCACGGGAAGAGATCCTGCAACAACTATTCTGGATTAATGTTTCTAGGTCATGTAGTTAAGGCTACCATTTGAACTATACGATAAGCCAGCATTCAAAACGGAAACATTTTGTTTTCCTTTAGTTTTATTTAATCCAAATTTGTTAGCACATATAAATTACAATGTTTTAACGTTAAAGGATTGTATAAATATGTATTTTTAGTACATCTCAAGTATAGAGCATTAGAATATCTCGAGAATAGAGCTTTTAAGTATATTTTCTACAAGTCAACAAACTGAACATGAGGATACAATATCTAGGTTTTAGTTTCTGTGCCCTGTCACATTTCTGTATTAAGCACATTTTTAATACAACAGAGTGAATTATTTCCCATCCCGATTTCCCTCCCTTCAACGTGTGTATCACAACACGGTAGAGAGATATTATTTGTACAGTTTTTTTCCACAACCTGTGTCAATAAGTTTTGATGGGGCTGTGTGGCCCGGTAGGAGAACGTGTAGTTGCTTACTCCAAAAGGTGTGAGTTCGAACCCTTGGACAGATGAGGCTCGATAGCTAGCTACAGCAACCCATCTAGGAGAGAAAACTCCAGAGTCATATAACCCTTATCGTGCTGATTGTTCTTGAGTAGACGAAAGATACGGAAGCAAATCCAGCAATAAAAACACCAGCCAAAAAAAAAACGTATTCTACCCTAGCTCTGACTATGCTTAAACCTATTCATAACCTGAGTCTCGATCCTAAAACTTGTTCCGTATTAGATATAATTTAAAGAAAAGCACATAAACCGTATATTGCATTTCACTGTCAGCGAGCATTTTTGTAACAAATCTCCCGTTATTGCTGCATCAAATCCACCACATTAGATAATTCCGGACTAGGACTAACCAACAGATCAACTACCGGTGACGTCACATATGACGGTTGACTTAGTGTCCATGGGAACTGTAGTTGTGTGATGACTTAAGTAAATCTGCTGTCTGCTGTTAACTTCACAGGAAGTTTTGCTAGTTTTTGTCGAAGAAATTTTCAAATATTTCTGAAATTAGAAAACATTTTAATTATATTAATCGAATTTCATTTATTATAGATCCTAACAAACTGATTGAAAATATGAAATATATTAAAGAATCCCGTCACAAGGGTGGCAATGTAAGCTTTCAATTATTATTTGAAAGAAAAATAAATTAGTATTCAGATTAGCAAATATAACCAGCAAATGTCAAAGCAAAAAATTAAAGACATTCGAGAACACAATTCACCGAAAAAATAAATTGAGATAGATCAGCCATATCCTAGGAAGCCAACAACAAATGAAGCATGGCGTAGCTTCATATTTGAAATTCTCAGGACAATAGAAATAGGTTTAGCACAACACGAAGAAAAGACTTAGCGACACAAGAATGATGGTTAATACTTGGAATATTAGATAAACTACCCCAGAATTGTCAGAAATTTATTTTTTCGAATCGGACAACACACTAAGTACTTCCACCAAAATAATTCAGTCTTTTGTATTTAAAACTTTAAATTTTTCAAAGTAATATTGTGTAATTTTCTACACTCGTGTAGGTACTTATACGTACAACAATATACTTTTGTCTTTTAATTTTTTTATTTTTTAAATATGTACAAAAAGCCAGATAACACAATGTTTGAAAAAAAAACATTCATTGGGAAAATAATTCAGTAAATAAAGGGTTAACCAGATTAATTACCTGTAAAAAACAACGCCGGAACTTGGAGCCAAAGTAGCAGAAACAGAAGAAGTTGAAGGTGGCGTTGGTGATGGTGAGGAAGTGGGCCAGAGCGGCAATGACGCCGCAGTACAGCGGGCAGGCGTTGACGTAGGCTGTGCCGTAGTAGCCCTGAATGATGAAGTTGACCATACGTGTGGTGCGGGTCATCAAAGTTTCCAATGATATACAGATGACCTGGTGGAAACAATAGAACATATCTTGACGATATACGAAGAAAAATTCAATATTAGATCTCCATTAGTCCCCAAGTTCCGTCAGGTTTAGAAAGGGAGCTTTATTATATATTACAACAGGCATAGATAGGGGACGGCGGGCGGGACGCCAAACGGGATAGAAAAAAATTTAAAAGCTTATTTTTCTGAGCTGCATTGCACAGTCGGAGTTAAGAACATAGGCTTCTACCTTGCATTATTTAAACTTTTTCGACATCAAAATTGTGACAACAAATAAAAAAAAATATTAAGATACTGTGTTTTGTAAAAAGCACCCTCGACCTTTCCAAATGGGGAGTGGGGGGGGGGGGGGCGTTTTGCCATTATTAATAGCTATACGATGGACATCAACTCTTCTAGTAGAGACAACTCCAAAATCAAACAACTGATGCCTTTAAGTTCTTGGTTGGACAAAGGCTATGGAAGCAAATCGAAAAAGAAAAGTAGGCTGAAATAGGAGTCAATGACCTACAAGATGCATAACAAGTTGACACGTGATGCTTAGTTATGTTGAAGGGAATCCCTTCCAACACTAAAATTAAGAATGAAGAAGAAGAAAATAGTCACACATAAATGGGAAGGGGGCGCAACATTGTTAATCACCAATGGTTTTTGGTTCACGTTATGTACAAGTTCTGCACGGTCTTTAAGCTTTGGTCAAGTTGTCTGTTAGATATTGATTACACTTGCTTGAGGTGCTGTATACAATTTGGGGGGGGGGGGGGCGAAAGAGGGTGGGGGTGATAAAATGTATTCACTATTTTATTCACAACGTGATTCTCTATTAAGATCTATGTGATATCATAAAACATAACTTATACTGACGATTAGTTTGTAAAAACATTGATAATGATTCTTACACTTATTTTACATAACTTTGTTAGTAAAGTCTTGTTAAAAAAAAATCCTTCCATGAAATTCAGTTGTCACAATGTCCTCTGCACTTACCATGGAAGTGATCCGTTTGGTTTCTGTGGATTTTAAGTCTTGGGTGGGGTCAGAGCTAATCAGGGTCTTCTGGAGACGACTACGTTGATGGAGTGATCTAGCGATGATGACGTTGATGGTGGAGATGGCGATGACGGGCACGAAGGCATCGAAGATTGGGTTGATGTAGCGGAGGTATACCTGTGGGTGGTGAGATGTGTAGGGTGACGTAAGAGAGATATAGGAGTGGGTGAAGGAAAGTGCGCGGGTTATATAGCGGAGATATAAAATAATCCTCTTTAGACCTAGCGATCCATTGGCCAGATGGAGTAGAGTTCTAGTTTCTTGACCTCGGCATATGAAGGGAAGATGTGGTAAGCACTTAGCCCAGCCGCCTTTACTTTCACTAACACCATTTAGGTACCCATAAGAGCTATGTGATCTCTGGGACGTACTACTGTCTTGAGCCCGGATTCGAACTAGGGACTTTCGATTTAGCGTTCTAGCGCTCTACCGCTTATGCCACAGATTTAACGGCCTAGCGCTCTACCGCTTATGCCACAGAAATAGAAACAGATGACGGGAGTGAAGGTAGGTATAAAAGGGATACTTGACACACCTGTATAAGGAGGGAAAGGGTTGCTAAGATAGAAATACGTCGGAGTGAGATTTCCGAAGAGAACATTGGAGGCTTTCTTAGGTGTTGATGAAACAATTATACAACCCATATTTAGAGAAGATTTGTAGCCAGTGGGTGACGATTGTATAGTATTAAGCCAAGGATTTAAATATGTAATAAAGAAATGAAGGTAATAATTGTTCAGAGGTAGCTTTTATAACCTGTCGACAATGTTTCTTTTTCAATGGAGGCCAGCGAGTTGACATGGAAAAAAACTTTTGTTTTTAAACAAATATTTTGACTTCATAGTGGTCGTAAGAAAAAAACAAATTTAAGCAAAAACATAATTTGGAACTTTAATATTTTTTAGAATTCCCTTTTTTTTTCTAACCCCCCCTTCCCTAGGTGGGGTTGGGGGGAGAGGCACTTGAAATTTTCGGAGGGATGGATTAAAATTTCCAAGGGTACGGACTAAAATTTCCGGTGGGGGGGGGGGGTGCGGAAAATTGTACAAGTATATATTTTATATATAAATTCTATTTCGTTCAATGAGGAGGGGTTGGAAGAAGAGATGCCTAAAAGAAACTCTGCTCACGTGTCACGCTACTGACCTCGTTATGAAAGTAAGTCTTGGAGTACTCAGAACTGACGGACTGGAACTCCGTGACGTTGGACCACTCCTTGGTGTGGTACTCCCAGCGGTCCTCCATCATCATAGGCACGTTCAAGACGGCCGACGTGAAGAACACGACACACAGCGCGACCTTGACCCGGCGACTGCTGCAGATTCGGTGCCATTGGAGAGGAAACTGAATTCCGATTGTCCTGAGTAAAAAAATAGAAACATAAACAACGTGGACTAAATACATGGGATGACGTGGGCGGACGGTTGCGCGTGCCACTGCTAACATGAAAGTCTCGAGTTCGGATCCTGGGATAGAGTTCGTTGGAGTCTCCATTCCACATGACTCTGATGAGTACATGACTACTGTTAGGGAAACAAAAGCGGCTTGATTGCGAGCTAATCACTTCATTTGTCGAGGTCATGGAAACAGGTGAACTATACTTCATCAGCCCCATGGAACCAGTGGCGTAGCCAGGATCGTCTCAAGGGGGGGGTTCCAATTTTTACCCGGGGACAAACTTTCGATTTGCACCCCCCCCCCTCAAACTTTCGATTTGCACCCCCCCCCCCTCAAACTTTCGATTTGCACCCCCCCCCTCAAACTTTCGATTTGCACCCCCCCCTCAAACTTTCGATTTGCACCCCCCCTCATACTTTTTATATATACCGAGGGGTCTATGGGGGGGGTTATGACCCCCCCTAACCCCCCCCCTGCCTACGCCACTGCATGGAACTACTAGTAAATAGAATGACCTAATTAAAAGATTTTGAAATAAAAATCACTGTGTTCTTGTAATAAATATATGCAACAAAGCTGAAATATTCTACGGTAATTTTTTAAATTTAATACTCATATGGATTTTGTTGGCAAAAAATTATTATAGTTACTTTCCTTTCTGCTTTAAAACATACACTCGCATACTGTGTATACCGCTAACGGTGAATACCAACTTGATCGTTCCGATATCGCTGATCGCCTTACGATGTCCACTAATCAAACACCACAATTTATTTCCTTACACAACTATTGGTACTGTACAACCACTCGTTTGACCACACAACCACACCCACTGAACCTTCACCACAATCATTTACCACAATAACAGCTGCTACCTTAAGAACACCACACGTATGTTCACCTACCTGTCAATTGACAAGATGACCGTCGTGTACACTGACCCTGTGATAGCCACATTAGTGAATGCACTGACAAAAGGTTGAGCGAGACTGACATAAGCGTCATGCCAGTCATTCAGTCCTGTGTGAACATATACATCAAGCTTTATATGATTTATGTACACTTATTGCTAATAGCTGTGTACAAAATACACCATGATACATTTAACTAGAACAGTAGTTCTTAACCTTTTTGGTGGTGCCGTACACCACCAGTTTCATATACACATTCACCGACCCCTTCTTGATAGTTTATCGCCTGTACTGACACATTCCGTTTGTGAATCATATGTCGGGTGTGCATTGACTTCCACCGAGCCCCTGAGACTGGCTAATCGAACCCTTGAAGTTCGATCGAACCCTGGTAAAGAACTACTAAACCAGAAATACTATACGCTTATAAGTGTAGGTTTATACGCTTATAAGTGTAGGTTTTGTTTAATGTAGTGTTAAAATACTTTATATCCCTTCCCTCAACTCAATTTGTAAACGATAATACAATATAATTAAACATCTTTTAAGAAAATAAATCTCTCTATGTCGAGACGTTGCTTTATGACGAATATGTTTTAAAATCTAAATATATAGAAATCTAATTAATGCCAATTTGCTAACTAGAAGTGCCTAAAAATATTCTAAAAATATATTTTTCGAAAAATAAATAATCTTTTGGGAACTAAATGTAAAAAAAAACAACTAAACACAAACTTAACGTTTAGTGATTACATACCTGTAACTCCGAAATGGAAATAATCCATGCTAATAAAAACTGTGTTGACCAATAGAAACACTAGATCATAGATTGCCATTGCGATAAGATATAAACTGAAGAAAAAACAAAATTAATAAGGTAGGTTACGTTTGCCAGAAGAATATCAGAGTTAATAAAGATCAATCGATACAACACACAATTTACCGTTATCATTTATTCAATTTTTGTATTATTATACCTATTATAAAACAAATTTTGTTTTTAGTAATTACACACACGAGCCTCTAAGTTAAGTACTTAAACTATATGATGAGTCGACGTAAACAGTGCACACAATGAACATTCTTTTAATGCTCACACTCGAGTGAAGAACACCAACTATTGTCTCTATTACTTCGATAAAATGGACGGAGTGGTCTAGCGGTAAAGAGCTGGACTGCTAACCCGTAAGTCTCGAGTTCGAATCCGGGTTCATGGCAGTAGACCGTCCCAGTGTCCACCCAACTCTGATGGGTACCTAGCTCACGTTAGGGAAAGTAAAGGCGGCTGGGCATAGTGCTGACCACACTATCTCTACATATGCCGAGGTCACAGAAACAAGTGAACTCTACTTCACTTGCCCCATAGACCGTCAGGTTTGAAAGGGAAACTTTACTTACTTCGATAAAATGTCGTACATTTTAGTCTATGTTGCTATTTCACAAACAACTTCACTAACACACGTGTGCATGAAAGCCACTCACACAAACAACGTCACTAACACATGTGTGCATGAAACCACTCACGCAAACAACTTCACTAACACACGTGTGCATGAAAGCCACTCACACAAACAACGTCACTAACACATGTGTGCATGAAACCACTCACGCAAACAAAGTCACTAACACATATGTGCATGAAAGTTACTCACGAGGTTGTCGACCCTCATCTCACGCTGCCACACAGGACCCCCAGACTCAGACAGTTTCAGACGACCCAGATCCCTACCCCAGATCCGACCAGACCTCACCAGTCGATGGCCTTCCAGAATCATCATAGCGTGTCTTTGGTGTCGTTGTGTCGATGACAGTGGTGTCGGCCATCATAGTGGTGTCGGCCATCAAAGTGGTGTCGGCCATCAAAGTGGTGTTGGCCATCAAAGTGGTGTTGGCCATCAAAGTGGTGTTGGCCATCAAAGTGGTGTTGGCCATCAAAGTAGTGTTGGCCATCAAAGTGGTGTTGGCCATCAAAGTGGTGTTGGCCATCAAAGTGGTGTTGGCCATCAAAGTAGTGTTGGCCATCAAAGTAGTGTTGGCCATCAAAGTGGTGAAGGCCATCAAAGTGGTGTTGGCCATCAAAGTAGTGTTGGTCATCAAAGTGATATTCAAGGCCAGCGATATATACAACTTGAGTGAGATCCAGTTTATGGTGTTGTAAAATCGATTCAGGTGGTATTCATCGTTAGTGGTATATACAGTTTAAGTCACAGCCAAGCTATAATGTCGCTGGGCCGATCAATGTGGTATTCATGGCTAGAGGAATACAAAATCTAATTTGTATTATGTTAGAACAGTGGCGTAGGCAGGGGGGTTTAGGGGGGTCATAACCCCCCTATAGACCCCTCGGTATATATATATATATATATATATATATATATATATATATATATATATATATATATATATATATATATATATATATATATATATAAAGTATGAGGGGGTTGCAAATCGAAAGTTTGAGGGGGGGGGGTGCAAATTAAAAGCTTGTCCCCGGGTAAAAATTGGACCCCCCCTCTTTGAGACGATCCTGGCTACGCCACTGTGTTAGAAACATTTATATATGTACTTGGACATTATTTCATTCTCACCTATATTTCGAATTATGACTACTATGCGTTTATCAAGTCGTCGATTAATTTACAGAATGAAATATACATTTTAGTTCGCTTTTTATAGTTTCATGTGTATGCTCCTTAAAAAATATCGACTAATTTTTAACATTGCTAATTTAAATTATATTTTAAATAAATTTACCTAGAATTTTAACTACAATGCAATAATTAAAATTTGAATATGTTTTGTTGTAAGACTGCGAGGAATACTTTTCTCTTATTCGTATTCAACTGCAGTTTTTTTTTGTTAGCTTGCATTTTCTTTATTAGGAATTTCCTTTAAGCTCCTAGCTATTATATTTATGCTTGAAATCCTGCGTGCAAACAACTTGTTCTATAAACTTTTATTTAGCTCACAATGTTTGATTTTTTTGGTGGGATGTGGTAGTTTTTTTACTTTCTCGTATATACGAAGTATACGAAGTATTGTAATCGTGCACAAAAATAACATGAAATTTTGACAGTTTTTACCGTTTTACTCCTCAGTCCTTCATCATATCCCGAGTATAGAGGACTTATTTTTATCAGGCAAAAATTATAAATACAAATATATAAACGTTTTGGAGTTTTATGCGTTATCGAGTCGTAAAAACTGGACTTTGCAATTCTGTCCGTATGTCTGTGTGTCTGTCTGTGTGTCTGTGTGTAAACACGATAACTTGAATACTGTTACAGCTAGGTTGATGAAATTTCATATAAAAGTATTTTATCAAAATCGTAGATCCTGATCAACTTTTGAGTGATTTCTGATAAACGGAAGTGGTACTTCTTCTACTTTGAATTTTTCAAAAGCCTATAAGTTGCGTACTATTTTAGATAGATGCATGAAATTTCATACGTAAGTAAAAAATCTAATTCTCTACCTTCTGTTAAATTTTAAGTAATTTCCATTGATCGGAAGTACTAATTTACGCTATTTCCGATTTCTCAAAAAACGCATGTAAATTTATAAAGTACTAATAATATCCCGCACTTTTATACACATTTTATTAGGGAAGGATTGGTCTAGCGGTAGAGAGCTGGACTGCTAACCGGTTAGTCATGAGTTCGAATTCGAGTTCAAGTCAGTAGACCGTCCCTGAGTCCACCCAACTCTGATGGGTACCTAACTCCTGTTAGGGAAAGTAAAGGCGGCTGGGCATAGTGCTGACCACACTATCTCTTCATATGCCGAGGTCACAGAAACAAGTGAACTCTACTTCACTTGCCCCATAGACCGTCAGGTTTGAAAGGGAATTTTTTTCACTTGGTGTGCAATTCTTTTTTTTTACGAGATTCAATTCTATTATAAAAAGTTTAAGTAATTAAAAATGGATAACAAATATTGTCTATGTCCTGAGTTGCCATCCCTCGTAATTTTATATTAGGATATTCGAGAAAGTTTAGGGGAGATCACTCCCGGTTTATTGCTAAAATATGTAATGAGCAACCAATGATTTTTTATAGATAGCAAGTTTGTTTCATTTTCTTATTTTTAGTGCAATTAAAAGCTTATTAAAGATTTTTATGTTTATTTTATTTTACCTTGTTAATTCGCAAGAAGAGTGATCAACTTGTTTATTGACGAAAGTAAAATAAAACTTACTTTCAAGTAATATAATTTGACATTAATATGTACACGTACACATACTGCATTATTCAACGCTGGCGACTTGTTTTCTTCTATATTTAACAATTCAGCATCTCTCTGTTTTACACATTGTTTAAATCGGTCATGTTCATTGACTTAAACTGCATTATGTCCACACAATACGCATCATCAATTTAAAAAAAAAAGTTTATAACATTTAAATTAACCATCTATCCGTTTTAATTATCTGATGAATATAGAAACAAATTGAATAAAAATATAAACTTAAATTTACTTACAATTCCTGTCCTTTTAAAATGAAAAGTTCAAACAAAATCGGTTAACAATCTTAAGTCGCTCTCGTATTAAACTCGTACTTATTCAGTACGCCCATGCTAGCTGTGAAATAGTCAGAATGAAAGAATGTAGGCCTACCACTAAGGTTGAAACTGCTGGAGCTTATGCCATATTTACATCGGTAGAGTGAACGCCCTTGTGTTCAATGAACCTGCACATACCTATTTCCGTGTGTAGAAAACTTCAGCGATCTGATTGGTCCGGCAAAAAAAAAAGATCCGGTTAACCTTTGACCCGGGCAATAACCTTCGGAAATTTTTCCAAGGAGTGGGTAATTTTATATTGGCCAGTCTTAATTTTTTTAAAGACTAATTACTTTTTCTAAATGTAATTTTTTTTTTCTAGTGGTTAATCAGCTAGTGATAACGTTGTTGATTCGTAGTACTTTCGTTAAATAAGAAAATAGTAACATTTTAATCGTTATCCTTTAACCATCACCATCATCATTAAAACCACCACCACCCTGACAAACACCACCACCAACACCACCACCATCATTATCATCATCATAATTTTCCAAAAGTTAAAAAACATGATTACAACAGTTGCACTGCTATCTGCACAACTAAATTACAATTCAATTCCTTAAAGAAATTATTCAAAAATATTATTTTACGCCATTACTATTCTATTATTTGGTAGAATATACAACCTCCAGACAAAGTATATATATATATATATATATATATATATATATATATAGATATATAGATATACGTATTAAATAAAGTTAAAGTAACATTCAAATTCATTAAAAATTATCTATCTCGTAAAAAAAAACAACACAACGAATTGATAAAAAAAAAATTCTTTTATATTAATGTTAGACTTATTAAACTAAAAGCTATTTGTATATTGTATTTACAATTATTATTTGTTATGAATAAAATCATGTATTACATGGTTTAAAATGTACTTTACTACAAAAAGACCCGACTGTTCAAATATTCAACAAACTAGAACAAATATTCTTTCTCAGGTCATGCTTGACCTCCTTAGGTTAACCCCACATTCCAGTAACCAGTGGAGCGTGACTTTAATCTTTGTTACTAACGAATTCCTATTAAGTTACCGTACTATGCCTAAGCGGGATTTAGGGTCCGTTCTTTAAGCCTGTCTTTGTGTTTGATATTAATCACGCTGGTATCAGTTAGCCGTATCTGGGATATTGTGAATATTAGTCAGATGACTAAGACGTACTAGCAATGGGGACAACTCATAAAAGTAAATTTAGCTGAAGGAAGGATATTAAAAACTAAATATAGGTCTTACGCAGAGGCGTAGTGATGGGGGG